TGCCAGGTGGGGCTCTAGGAACCAAAGATAAATTAGGATAGACATGCCTGCCCTCAAGGAGCTCATAGTCCAGCCAGTACAGAGGGTACAGGTGCTGTTTTGCTCACCCAGATCCACCTTTTCTGATCTTCCTCAGGCACCCCTCATCCTGCCCCACTCCCTCGTTCCAACGAAGGAGAAACCGAGGCTTGAGTAATCAGCTCTGTCAACCTGGGGGCGACAGTGTTTGGTCAGGGATGGGCCTGACCTGACAGTCTGCTGAGATTCCACGACACTTGCCCTGGCCCTCTTGAAAAAGGTGATTTTTTTTGGTGAGCAGACTAAAAAAAAAATCAATATTCAGTTTGGGACCAGGGTACTCCCTCACCCTGTAGAAATGGGGCCATCTGATAAAGCTGATATTAAAACCTTTCTCTTTTTAATGCTTCAGTTTCACCTTCATTTCTGGATTCTCTTTTTCTTTTCACTTAATCACCCAAATCTTTTCTTAAGTATTATTCTTCCCCCTTCACAAATATCCTCACTGGTGGATCCTATCATCAAAAATGGGCCCTCTGTTTTCCTGTAACATTTTCCATTTGGATTATCCCGTCAGTCTGTGATTAATTGTGTCCTGGCATTGTTCCAGGATGGGGGCACACAGAACCTATCCCAAGGTCTGGGTCATGCAACTCAGCCTTCACATTCAGTGACAGCCTCACATTTAGACTCTTCATTTCCATAGACGCTAATTTTGCGTTTGGTTTGCAGTTCAGGACAGGAGTTTGTATCAGAAAATAGAACCCAGTCTGTGTCTTTCCAACAGGAAGATTTTAATGTAGAAAGTGGTTAAACAGATGCATTAGTTACCTCTTGCTGTGCAACAAGTTACCCAAATACTTATAGTGGCCTAAAGCAACAATAATCATTATCTTTCATAGTTTCTGCAGATCTGGAATTTGGGAGCAGTTAGGCTGCACAGTTTTGATACAGGGACTCTCATGAGGCTGCAGTCAAGATATTGGCTGGGGCTGTGTCATCTGAAGGCTTACCTGGGGCTGGAGGAGCTACTTCTAAGATGGCATCCTCACATGGGTGGTGGCTGGAGGCCTTAGTTTCTCTCTACAGGGGCCTATCCCAGAGCTGCTCGTGTGTCCTCATGACGATAGCAAGAGTTCCCCAGAGGAAGTGAGTCAGAAGAACAAGGTAGGTGTAATCATACCTTCTATGACCTAGCTTACGAAGTCAACACACTGTTACATCTGCCACATTCTCTTAGAAGAGAGTCACTAAGTTAATTCTGCCTCCCAGTCCATGGAAGGGGACTTAGGCTCCACCTTTTGAGGGAGGAGGGTCAAATAATTTGTGGATATATTTTGAAAGGGTCACAACAGGCAATGATAGAGCTGAGAAGACAAACAAGGGATGGCGAGACAACTACAGATTAACAGCAGCAGAAAGACGCCAACCCACTTAGGACTGGAGGGATGACCAGCCCAGGAACCAGGACCGCCCAGTGGAAACTGGAACCTCAGAGGAACTGGAGCCTTGAAGAAGTAGTCGCTGATGGAGGTGCTGCCCAAAGCAGAGAGGAAGACAAATGCTCTGGCTTCTTCCTGCCTTCACCCTCTAATCTCTTGTGAGGGCCTGCAACCTGCTGAACCTACAAGAAAGTAGAGTGCAAGGGAGCTTGGGAAACGTAGTTCTTTGTGATGTAGAGGCATGTGGAGAAGGCTTGATGGGTCTGAGATCAAATGGGCAAAGGCTTAGCATGGAGCCCCCTAAAATGGCTGATCTGGTTAATGGGTGATATTGTGGTTAATTTGTCTTGAATTCTGATTACTTTATATGTTAATATTGTTCATGTTAATAAAGTACATTTAAAACTCAAAATGAAAAAAAACAAATAATGAAAGATAATTCTCCAATCTTCATTTTTCTTCCCTAACTTTAAAAAGACCTCTGGTGGGATGAGAAGGGAAGTGGAATGTTAATACTCAAAGAGCAGAGAGCTGATCTAGCCTTTCTGTGGAAACAGCCTTTGTTATTCTAAAACTTGCCAGCATTTGAGAACTGACTAATGCAACTGATAGAAACCCCTCACAAATTCTCATCTGGCGTCCTTGTCCCTGCCTCCACAAGCTTCTGATTCCAAGCAGAAATCATTAATTTTGTCCTCTCTAAGTATATACCCAGGAAAACTGAAAACATATGTCCATACAAAAATGTGTGTGTGAATGCTCACAGCAGCATTCTTCATAACAGCCAAAAAGTGGAAACAACCCAAATGTCCATCCATCAACTAATGGATAAACAAAATGTGGCCCATCCACACAATGCAATATTACTCAGCAATAAAAAGGAATGGAGCACAATATGTTAGGTGAAAGAAAATGGTCATAAAAGGTTACATATTGTATGATTCCATTCCAAATTTACAGAGATAGAAAGTAAATTAGTGGTAGCCAGGAGCTGGGGGGAATAGGAAATGGGAAGTGACAGCTAATGGGTACAAGGTTTCTTTCTGGGATGATGAAATGTTTTGGAATTAGTAGTGATGGCTGAACAACTCTGCAAATATGTGAAAAACCACTGAATTGTACACGTTAAAAGGATGAATTCTGTGGTATGTGAATTATATCTCAATAACACTGGAAGGAACGAAGGACCCACTTTTTGTTGCACCTTGCTGACCACTGATCACCACCTGGCGGGCTCTAGGCCAGACCCCAGGTGAGAGGTTCATCCATTATCCATCAACTATTTATTGGGTACTCACTAGGTGCCAACTGTTTGTCCTGTTGGATGTAGTCAAGTGCACCATGGCACATGAGCTCATGCCAGTCTGCTGAAGACCATAAAAGTGGACATTTACTGTGGGTAACCTGGAAAGTCCGGAGAGCCTGTGGTTGTTTGATTTGTCTTCAGATCTTGAAATAATGTTTAAAGACAATTGCTGAGTAATTATGACAGTGTGCTAAAAAGAAAAACCTGTCCAAAGAAGGAACAATACCAAGTAGTTGATAGTGATTATTTTACAGTACTGTGTTTAGAGTTACTTTGTCTCTTTTCCAGTTTTTAGACAGCAGTTAATTACTTTTATAACATAAAAATAATACATCTGAAGATCACTTCTGGCTGCATCTTTGGTTTGGCCACAGCTGTGTTTTCAAAAATTGGAGGTCAGTTAGTTTAGACACAGCATCTATGCTGCAATTTGCCAGTGTCCTCCCTACTCCCTATTGCCTGAAGCTGGTGCTGTCTGTTATATCAACTGTCGATTCCTGAAGACATTTAAATTCGGGTTCCCTGGTTTATGTAATAAATCCCCCACAATACACAATTAATTGTCATTCCCTGAGATGCTAAATGATCACATTTTAAATCCCTGATAAGTAGAGTTAGAATATTTAATCAGTTTAAAAATGAAAGTTAACATTTAATTTCTAGATTAAAAACAATTGTTCTTGGCATACTGCTACAGAGTTGGGTTGCTTGGGAAGGTAAAAAGGCTGTATCCGTCAGTTTTATTCAGTTTAATAGAAAACCTCTGTAGGTTTTATAATCAGAAAGAGATTATAAAGGCATACGAATGGGCTGGAGAGGCTGGACAAACAGGGTCTAGGCTGAGCCTCCATCCAGTGATGGCTCCCAGAGTACTACTACTGTAATGACCTGCCAGGAGAAGTGGGGCCTTCGCCACAGTGTGGAAGGTGGGGAGTCAGGAGACCATTAGTAGAATTCTTGAGTTCAGTAACACACTGTCAGCCTGGAAGTTTCCATCACTAGCTGCACCTGTCTTGACACCTGAAGCAGAAAACTGGGATATTGGTCCACTACTGCCCCCTATTGCCTGATGGTCTTTGAAAAAATGAACCCTCAAACTTGCACAGCATGTTCACATACACGGTGTTATTTGATCCTTCTGATAACTTTAAGATAAGCTAGGCATGTAGTGTCATCCCCTTTCTACAGATAAGGAAATGGAAGCTTAGAGGGGTGATGGAACATAATTAGGGTCACACAGCTGTGTGCAAAACTGGAGTAACAACCCAGGTATCCTCATCCCCAGGCCAGTTCAAGTTCATTGCAATCAACTAGTATGTCAGGAGTAAGGTCATTTGTGGTCCTATGGTAAGGCCTACGAGCACAGCATACATATGCCAAGGCTGGTATCTCATGAGTGACACAAAATGGGAAATAACTATAACTTGGTAGGCACAAATCAGCATTGTAAACAAAGGGGAAGGGGCTAGTATTTGGCATCAGGATGTCTAGGAACATTTCAGAGGAGAGAAGAGGTGACATTTGTATTGGTTTTTGAGAGATGAGTAGGAGTAAGACAGGAGTCAAAGGGTGGAAAAAATTGTCCTAGCAGCTAGCAAGAGCTAAAGATTTTGGTGTGGCTGCAAGGTTTTGGGTAACTGAGAGAATTAAAATTTTGGAGGACTTGGACAAGGTAATTTTTTTTTTCAGTTTCAGTATTATATACATACGGTAAAACAAAGAGCATTAGTTTTAAGTATATATCTTCTTGATTTAAAAATATATATAAACACTCATGTACCCATAATTTAGATAAAGATATAAAACACTTTCAGCATCCCAAGAGGTTCCCTTGCGCCGTTTCCCAGTCTATACCCACCTCCATCCTTCCCTCGGCGGTTTTTGCAGGATGAGGGAGACCAACATAAAATCTCAAAACCCTTGACTTCAGCTCCCAGCTCCCATTCCTTCCACTCCTACTGTGGCCTCCAAATCTTTTGCCACCTTTTTGGATACTTCTAAGAGGGCACTGCACCGAGCGGGGTAGGTTCCCGATACTTTGTTTTCTTGCGCGGTCGTTCAGTAATTTAGGTTGCACACGAATGGGGAATGGAGGTGGCGACGATGATTTTTGGACTTGTGGAGCCACCGTCCAGGCTCGGGCCGCGCAGAACTGCTTTGACCCTCGGCGGCTGCCGTGTGTCAGTTACGTGGCGGCTGCCAGCGCCCGCCAATCCTCGGTGCCCGCATCAGCCCCTTCGGGTGGCGCAGACGGAAGAGGCGGAGCTGAAGCGGCGGCGGCTGAGGAGGCAGCGGTGGCGGCAGCGGCTGCTGCTCCGGAGGCCGCAGTCCCGGTCCTGGCTTCGGCTCCAGCTCCACTATGGTGACGCTCGCTGAGCTGCTGGTGCTCCTGGCCGCCCTCCTGGCCACGGCCTCTGGCTACTTCGTCAGCATCGACGCGCATGCCGAGGAGTGCTTCTTAGAGCGGGTCACCTCGGGCACCAAGATGGGCCTGATCTTCGAGGTGGCCGAGGGCGGCTTCCTGGACATCGACGTGGAGGTGCGGGCGCGCTGCCCGCGGCTGAGGCGGGGTCACGCGGCCTTTCGGGGGTTGGCGGCGCCCGGGACCTCCCGGGGCGCGGGGAAAGGAAGCCGCTGTCCGAGTTCTAGGAGGGGCCAGGGCCGACGCCGAGCCCGCCGCGGCGACCCCCAACGGCCCTTTTTCCCGGGGCCGCTCGGAATCCGTGTCCCGGGATTTTCTCGGGTTACGGAGTGGTTGCTTAGTTGCTCTGGGTTCTCAACTTGAAAGACCGGGTTCCCTTGGAACCTGTCGCCGAGCTTTGCTCCGACCAGGCATATGTTAGGTGAAAGAAAATGGTCATAAAAGGTTACATATTGTATGATTCCATTCCAAATTTACAGAGATAGAAAGTAAATTAGTGGTAGCCAGGAGCTGGGGGGAATAGGAAATGGGAAGTGACAGCTAATGGGTACAAGGTTTCTTTCTGGGATGATGAAATGTTTTGGAATTAGTAGTGCTGGCTGAACAACTCTGCAAATATGTGAAAAACCACTGAATTGTACACGTTAAAAGGATGAATTCTGTGGTATGTGAATTATATCTCAATAACACTGGAAGGAACGAAGGACCCACTTTTTGTTGCACCTTGCTGACCACTGATCACCACCTGGCGGGCTCTAGGCCAGACCCCAGGTGAGAGGTTCATCCATTATCCATCAACTATTTATTGGGTACTCACTAGGTGCCAACTGTTTGTCCTGTTGGATGTAGTCAAGTGCACCATGGCACATGAGCTCATGCCAGTCTGCTGAAGACCATAAAAGTGGACATTTACTGTGGGTAACCTGGAAAGTCCGGAGAGCCTGTGGTTGTTTGATTTGTCTTCAGATCTTGAAATAATGTTTAAAGACAATTGCTGAGTAATTATGACAGTGTGCTAAAAAGAAAAACCTGTCCAAAGAAGGAACAATACCAAGTAGTTGATAGTGATTATTTTACAGTACTGTGTTTAGAGTTACTTTGTCTCTTTTCCAGTTTTTAGACAGCAGTTAATTACTTTTATAACATAAAAATAATACATCTGAAGATCACTTCTGGCTGCATCTTTGGTTTGGCCACAGCTGTGTTTTCAAAAATTGGAGGTCAGTTAGTTTAGACACAGCATCTATGCTGCAATTTGCCAGTGTCCTCCCTACTCCCTATTGCCTGAAGCTGGTGCTGTCTGTTATATCAACTGTCGATTCCTGAAGACATTTAAATTCGGGTTCCCTGGTTTATGTAATAAATCCCCCACAATACACAATTAATTGTCATTCCCTGAGATGCTAAATGATCACATTTTAAATCCCTGATAAGTAGAGTTAGAATATTTAATCAGTTTAAAAATGAAAGTTAACATTTAATTTCTAGATTAAAAACAATTGTTCTTGGCATACTGCTACAGAGTTGGGTTGCTTGGGAAGGTAAAAAGGCTGTATCCGTCAGTTTTATTCAGTTTAATAGAAAACCTCTGTAGGTTTTATAATCAGAAAGAGATTATAAAGGCATACGAATGGGCTGGAGAGGCTGGACAAACAGGGTCTAGGCTGAGCCTCCATCCAGTGATGGCTCCCAGAGTACTACTACTGTAATGACCTGCCAGGAGAAGTGGGGCCTTCGCCACAGTGTGGAAGGTGGGGAGTCAGGAGACCATTAGTAGAATTCTTGAGTTCAATAACACACTGTCAGCCTGGAAGTTTCCATCACTAGCTGCACCTGTCTTGAAGCAGAAAACTGGGATATTGGTCCACTACTGCCCCCTATTGCCTGATGGTCTTTGAAAAAATGAACCCTCAAACTTGCACAGCATGTTCACATACACGGTGTTATTTGATCCTTCTGATAACTTTAAGATAAGCTAGGCATGTAGTGTCATCCCCTTTCTACAGATAAGGAAATGGAAGCTTAGAGGGGTGATGGAACATAATTAGGGTCACACAGCTGTGTGCAAAACTGGAGTAACAACCCAGGTATCCTCATCCCCAGGCCAGTTCAAGTTCATTGCAATCAACTAGTATGTCAGGAGTAAGGTCATTTGTGGTCCTATGGTAAGGCCTACGAGCACAGCATACATATGCCAAGGCTGGTATCTCATGAGTGACACAAACTGGGAAATAACTATAACTTGGTAGGCACAAATCAGCATTGTAAACAAAGGGGAAGGGGCTAGTATTTGGCATCAGGATGTCTAGGAACATTTCAGAGGAGAGAAGAGGTGACATTTGTATTGGTTTTTGAGAGATGAGTAGGAGTAAGACAGGAGCCAAAGGGTGGAAAAAATTGTCCTAGCAGCTAGCAAGAGCTAAAGATTTTGGTGTGGCTGCAAGGTTTTGGGTAACTGAGAGAATTAAAATTTTGGAGGACTTGGACAAGGTAATTTTTTTTTTCAGTTTCAGTATTATATACATACGGTAAAACAAAGAGCATTAGTTTTAAGTATATATCTTCTTGATTTAAAAATATATATAAACACTCATGTACCCATAATTTAGATAAAGATATAAAACACTTTCAGCATCCCAAGAGGTTCCCTTGCGCCGTTTCCCAGTCTATACCCACCTCCATCCTTCCCTCGGCGGTTTTTGCAGGATGAGGGAGACCAACATAAAATCTCAAAACCCTTGACTTCAGCTCCCAGCTCCCATTCCTTCCACTCCTACTGTGGCCTCCAAATCTTTCGCCACCTTTTTGGATACTTCTAAGAGGGCACTGCACCGAGCGGGGTAGGTTCCCGATACTTTGTTTTCTTGCGCGGTCGTTCAGTAATTTAGGTTGCACACGAATGGGGAATGGAGGTGGCGACGATGATTTTTGGACTTGTGGAGCCACCGTCCAGGCTCGGGCCGCGCAGAACTGCTTTGACCCTCGGCGGCTGCCGTGTGTTAGTTACGTGGCGGCTGCCAGCGCCCGCCAATCCTCGGTGCCCGCATCAGCCCCTTCGGGTGGCGCAGACGGAAGAGGCGGAGCTGAAGCGGCGGCGGCTGAGGAGGCAGCGGTGGCGGCAGCGGCTGCTGCTCCGGAGGCCGCAGTCCCGGTCCTGGCTTCGGCTCCAGCTCCACTATGGTGACGCTCGCTGAGCTGCTGGTGCTCCTGGCCGCCCTCCTGGCCACGGCCTCTGGCTACTTCGTCAGCATCGACGCGCATGCCGAGGAGTGCTTCTTTGAGCGGGTCACCTCGGGCACCAAGATGGGCCTGATCTTCGAGGTGGCCGAGGGCGGCTTCCTGGACATCGACGTGGAGGTGCGGGCGCGCTGCCCGCGGCTGAGGCGGGGTCACGCGGCCTTTCGGGGGTTGGCGGCGCCCGGGACCTCCCGGGGCGCGGGGAAAGGAAGCCGCTGTCCGAGTTCTAGGAGGGGCCAGGGCCGACGCCGAGCCCGCCGCGGCGACCCTCAACGGCCCTTTTTCCCGGGGCCGCTCGGAATCCGTGTCCCGGGATTTTCTCGGGTTACGGAGTGGTTGCTTAGTTGCTCTGGGTTCTCAACTTGAAAGACCGGGTTCCCTTGGAACCTGTCGCCGAGCTTTGCTCCGACCAGGCGCCGCGTGTCAGCTCCGGGCCCAGAAGGCGCCTCGGTTAGCTGGTGGCAGGTCCTATCGGGACAACAGCTGCATTTTTTCAAGTTACGGATTAATGTTGGAATGTGACATGGAAACTTCTGAAAAAGTAAAGTGAAAGCTATTTAGGAATGCTAGGTACACGTTCGCTTTGTTTTTCTTTATTTTTCATAGGAACAGTGTTTCACACAAAACTCCAGATACCTCGTTTAGGTAGGAGACTAGGAGAAAGGTGGAGTTGGGTCGTGCAATTTTAGAGTAATGATTGCAGCGAAATACCGGGAGAAGACGAAGTTATTTTAAGAAACCAGCAGTCCCCAAATTTTATTTTATATCTTTTTTAAACCAAAAGAATGATTCCCATTTTTTTTAGGACATTACATGTCATTAATATTTAAGTTCACTATTAGCATGATTAATTGGGTTTGAGTATTTTCCATTTGACAGTGAACAGAGTTGGGCACAAAGTATACAGTACAAGTGAAGTCCAAAAATAAGGGGATACTGGAAGGAGTGATTATTAGAATTAAGATTTTACAACTCAACTATTTAAGTCTCCAAATTTTACAGGTGGCAGGGCTTTATAAGTGGAACTGACTTCACCTAGGCCTGACAGCTGGTTGGTGGTAGAGTGCGATGATAATATGAGTCTCCCAATTTCCAGTCTAGTCCTTTTTCTTAAGCCTTCCAACATCTCAGAAACAGCAGATCTGTCACTGGTTGGCAGTAATCAATCAGGGAAACCTAGAAATACAGCTTGCTCAAAATTCCTAGTTTTAAAAGTTTTTTTCTTGTTTCCACATTAGCAGTTACATGTTTCCAAGCGAGTTGGTGGTATTAGACCACTTGGAAACCATGTGTAAGGTGTGGTTTCTGTTTCTCGGGTTTAAGTTGGACAAATAGGGCGGGTGTAGTCAGAGCTGAAAGGTAGTTTAGAGAGCCAACTAACTAGTCCACCCTTGTTTCGACAGTGGGAGAACTGCAGCCCAGAGAGGGTATTGCCCCCGAAGGCGAACTAAGTGAAAATGGCATTTTCTTAGCGAATATTCTACATCCAATAGAAACCACTTACAAAGCTTATGGTTATAAATCTTTTGTGGTATCTAATGCATGTCTCTTCTGCCTCCAGATTACAGGGCCTGATAATAAAGGAATTTATAAAGGAGATCGAGAGTCCAGTGGGAAGTACACATTTGCTGCTCATATGGATGGAACATACAAATTTTGTTTTAGCAATAGGATGTCCACCATGACTCCAAAGATCGTGATGTTTACCATTGATATTGGGGAGGCCCCAAAAGGACAAGACATGGAAACGGAAGGTGAGACGAACATTCGGAAGATTTATATCACATTCCAGGAGTTAAAATATTATTTCTATACGTATTTATTCATCAATGGCGTATTTATTTTGATTTCTTATTCTAGTTTCATTCACTGTGTTTAAAACCAAAACCTTTGTGAAATATACTTTTTGTCTAAATCTAATTAACAGAAAGAAGTTTCTGAAAATTCATGTGTATATATTAGTTGTTTACAGTTGCCCCTTCTGGCAACTTAGTCACTTTATGCTTTTTATAAACATGTATGTGACATGTTTTAGGTTGGTGGTTCTGTTGATTTGCTAGTCCTGGTATGTACATCATTATTTGCTCATTTATATATGACTAGTTTCACCTAAGTGTGTGTGTGTGTGTGTGTGTGTGTGTTATGCTTTTCTTTAGGTGGTGGAGATTCCTGGGATGGTATGTGGATTGTTTTGTGAGAACATCCTGTCTTTTTTGCATATTTTTGTTTGCTTCTAATTTCTGCTTTCCTTCTCTCTAACTTCAGTTTGTTAGCATGAGAGTGTTTTTTTTTCTTGTAATTAAAACCCTACAACTAATTAAGAGCTTTAGAGTGATTGTTTTGTGGTTTTTATTTGGTTGACAGGAGATAAGAGTTAGTCCATTTAAAATCAGTAGCACTGGAAATGCAGTGATTGACATTTCAGTAGTAGCATCATACTTTGTTTCTTTTAAATGGAAAGATTCAATTATAACTGGACAAGTAAAAGTCTTAATTAAGCATAGCCAACAGCAAATGCTGCTATTGACTTTGTAGGAAGTGTTTTGGAGGCCTTTTTACCCTTATTAAAGTTTTCTACTTTGAAACTTACAGGATATGAAATGCAGTTCTAGGAGGCATGTCTAGATGGTGACAAAAGCTCTCTCAGCTATATGTTGCAGTTAGATTAATTTTTATCCCTCAGCTGACCAACAGTGAATCCTGAATTGATTATTCTGGATAAATTGCTTACTAGGAACCAGCACGTTTGAATTTTTTTCCCCTTGCCACAGTGCACTTCAAGATTTTTGGAAATGAGCAGTTCAACATGTTTTGTAGTTTTAACATGATAACATTTGTCTTAGATGTTGAGCAATTAGTAGAGTACTTACAAAGATGATGACGTACATGTTAGGTTTTGAAATCTATAGATTTTAGAGAATCACACTATTTAGTTCCTGTGCTCCCTTTCCAGGGACATTTACAGTGTAAGGTGTGGCTAACTCTCAAAAGTTTTGAAGGACTCTGTGTTTGGAAATTAGTCCTTTCCGAATAGTTAAAAAATGTTGGCTGATGTTATGTGACTATTGAATTATTAAATAATCCTGTAACACAACCTAAAATTCTTGCTTTTGCTTGTCAATGTCAGTGAATGGCAGCTGTCAAATCAAGCCATCCTTTAAAGCATTGGTCCTCAGGAAAGGATGACCTTTGCCCCCATCCTCCCTGCCCCCCAATATTTGACAGTACCTGGAGACATTTTTAATTCTCTGGACTGGATGGGAGATCGTACAGTGTATTGGGTAGCACCCCCCAAGAAAGAATTACCAGTCCAAAATGCCAACAGTATTGCTCCCGAGAAACCCTGCTCTAAAGGTTCCATGAGTGAATGGGGCTTCCAAAGTGAAGCTAGTGAGGGGTGTTTTGAGATTCCAGCCCAACTACCCTAAAATGGTAGGGGCCCTTGGCTTCTCTTGAGACGTTTATCTATGGCAATTTGGAATTGCAGATGAGGCCCAGTCTTGAGCAGTGATGAGGAGACCCCATTCAATGGGAATTTCCCCTTGTGGTACATTTTTTTCCCTACCTCTTTGTTCCTTGTCATAAATATGATACTACCTAGAAGCATACACTTTGTCCTCAGAACACTTAGCTCACCTTGTATTCATTTTTGGCTAAAAAGAATACCTAGTTTTAAACCTTGTGCAGCTGATATGTTACCTTTTCACTTTAAATGCCTGCTATTCCTCACTATAGTGAAATTGCTCTGACTGTCCTAAAATGTTTGATTGGTGTGGATTTTCCCAAGAAGGTTTTCATGTTTTTCTCTGCTCAACTTCTTAGAGATTTAAAAGTCTGTTTTAATACTGCTCTTAAATTAATACTAGGATTATATGATTTTTAAGAGATTGTATTTTAGCTTAAACTACTGTAACCTATAGATTATTAGGGTGTTAGAGAGTTTTTCGGTTTGTTTTATATTTCATGCTCTCTTTTCTTCCCCCTTAAAAAAAGACTTTTTTTTCCCTCTCTGGTTACCTGTCAGTGTAATGAACTTTAGCAGCAGTTCATTCCTTAGGTTTGTTTTCCTTTAGTTAGTAAACTTATGTTTCCTACCCAGAAAGAGGTTTCCCTACTGGAAATGGATGTTAAAAAAAATGCTTTAAGTATTAAATTATCATCAGTGGTCCAAAATGATATCTGAGCCATTTCTAAATATAGCTTCTTTTGTATGTCTTCTCTGAGGGTTATTTTGAGGAATAGTGCTTTATAAGTAATGCTCAAAAGGAGACTGCCAGATATGTGCTGATCTCTTTACAAATTGTTCTGTAGCTCACCAGAACAAGCTAGAAGAAATGATTAATGAGCTAGCAGTGGCGATGACAGCTGTAAAACATGAACAAGAGTACATGGAAGTTCGGGAGAGAATACACAGAGCAAGTAAGTTAATGCTTTAACTTTGCAACAATGTCTGGTGGCCAAAATATGCTGAAGGTGTATTACCCAACAGCTCGTTTATAGCTTCTTCATTTGGAAATTTTGGAAGCGTATTCATACCAAAGCATTGACTTAAAAAAGCACCTACGCATAGATATTTTTTGAGTATACATGTTTGTAGAGCTTTGAACTAGTCTACTTTTTTGGCACAGTCATTCTAAACTAAAAAATACTATTAAGATTCAGCATGAGTTTTTAAGAGTTTTTTTAAATGTATGGTCAGCTACGGAATGAACAAATAGTTTTCTTAAAACAGAAAGGAAAAACATTGTAAAATATACATTGGTTTTTAACAATTAAAAACTTTTGTGCCAGTGCATTAATATTATATGCTGAGATTCAGCTGTGTTTCTAAGATGAAAGATTTTGCACTAACACAAATATAGGCCGTCACCAGGTGAAGATCAGTTTGGAAGTTTGTTCTGGGAATTGGGAATGTATTTGCGGAAACAGTGATGAATCCTATGTCAGGTTGCAAAAGCCTATTTAACCCATGATATAGCCTTAAGTATTATGCTTTTGCATTTAAAATTAAGAGGTGCCATATTGACACACAGGCCAGATACCATATTTTAGACCATATAACCCATCCAGGTCCACCCTCATGGTTCAGTGTCTTTCATCCTCCAAGTAGTTCTTGAGGATGACCTCATGGGAGCAAGTCCATCTGTAAATGCAAAGTGCTTTATGTCAGGAGTCTTTGTTTTGAGGTTGAAATAGCAAGTAGAGAGAAGAATGACTCAGATAAGCACAGGTTGAATTTCTTCAAGATGTCATTTGTGTTCTTCCCACCCTCTTACATCTATTCTTGCCACTTATGGAGACAAGCTTTCAGGACCTAGACCACATGCATTGCCTCTCCTTGGGACAAAAATGAGCAAACACAGTAGACTGGAGAAGCACCTGTTCTTGCTTTTTAGGGGGGATTGGGGCATGATGGGGACTGGGGACTAAGGCTTGTATAGACACTCCTGACTCTTCCATCATGATTCCTACTTTATGCCTCCACTATCACTCTCCTCACCCTTTGGTATCTCTAACTTCTCTTCCCTATCTGGCAGGGACCTATTTGTTGGTTACCTTGCCCCCAGGTGGGGACCAGCCCATTCTAGGATGAGTAGGGCACTGAACAAAGTCTGAAGGCCAAGAGCTTCTACTGCTTTGCAGTTTAACTAGTCCAGACCAAATGGCTCTAAAAGGTGCAGGAGGTTCTTGGAAACACAGAGCACCGCCTTCCGGGCTGTGGGGGCATCCAACTTTATTCTTCTACTTTCAATGTGAGCAGAGATAAGCTTGTGTTTGTTTCACACACACACAGTTTTAGGCATTCAGTTTAATTTTGCAAATCAAATAGTTCCCCCAGTGTTTGTTTTTGTACATCTTCCTGCAGCACTCCTCAGATGAACAAAATGAGACCTTTTATTACTGCTGTGTTGTAATAATACTGTATTGGTTCTAGATCCAGCTAATATGTGAATGGCATGAGGATACTTGTCTTATGTACACATGCTTACCTGGGTGGCTACTTTCCTATGATTCTGTACTTTAGTATGTTCTATTGCAGTGTAAAAATGCATTTTTTAAATAAGTGAAGGAGACACAAATACTTCTTTTTATATGGTTTCTTAATATTTTGAAGTGTTTATTCAGCTGTTCCCCTTCAAGACACAATCTTGAAATGCATTATTCATGTGTTAGAAATTAGTTACTTAGTTTTCAGCAGAAGTAAACCTCATGCCGTGGAATTAGTACTGAAATTTCAGTGTTGGTGATTTTCAGAGTTCTAGTTAACGTTCTTGGTCATGTGACTATTCTTACTCTGGAAAAGAGTCCTTTTTTTTTTGAGTACTGTGAGTTATCCTTTTGGAAATATGTTAATTGCATTTCACTTCTTTTTGAATGATTATCAGTCCAGTAGCTATTATAATTCTAGTTAATCTTTACAAATGATATCTGTGTATATGTATATGTATTTCTAAAAATATGGCATTCACTCACCTGATTAATATCGTTAACTATATTGCTAATTATAATTGCTTTTAATATTGGCCATTTGCAGAAAAATCAGAAACTACCTAGCAGTTTTTAAAAGTTAAGGCTATAGAATTTGATGGATAAACTTGGAAGAACATGACATAAGTTGATGTAAGTTGAGCAGAATACATTAATATAGAATGGTTATGACTGTTGAGGATCAACTCCTTAGCTTGAGTGGAATAAATCGTGAGGCTAGTTCAAGTTTGGTAGTAACTTGCAGCATTGGTCCATGAAACTGAGAAATCTCCCCCATTTAGAACAAATGCCAAGCACATGGTAGATGTACTCAATAGTCAATAAATATTTGTTGAGTAAATATTTAAAGCAAAAGACTCATACATTTTTACGTAGTAGGTGGTGCTTTTTGGGTTATTCTGTGATCTTAAAATAATCCCTTAGTTTTTTGTAATTCAGTTTTCTGATTAGGCAAAAAGGGTTGTAATGTAGGGACATTTCAGTGTGAGGGAGAAAAAAGGTTGAAGTTTGACCTTGGGCAAGTTATTTTTTCTGTTTTCGGTACAGAAGCAGACTGGGCTTGACTATACCCTGTGAGTCTTTAAGGTCCCATTTAAATCTAAAATTATCTACTTCTGAGTATGTTGAGTTGCTTGGGGACAAAAGACAAAAAAGTATTTAGAGTACTATGAATGGTATGCAGAATAATTACACAGAGTAAAGGCTAGGGGATACTTCATGATGCCTATGCATTTTTTTTTTTGGTTGTTAAATTTTGTTTTTTTGTTTGTCCTCACAGTCAACGACAACACAAACAGCAGAGTGGTCCTTTGGTCCTTCTTTGAAGCTCTTGTTTTAGTTGCCATGACATTGGGACAGATCTACTACCTGAAGAGATTTTTTGAAGTCCGGAGGGTTGTTTAAAAAGCCTTTTCCTGATGATCTCAAACTCCTAATTCACTGTTTACCAAACATCTTGTTCATAATGTCATTAGTTTCTACATTTTTATTTTCTGAACTGTACCTTCACAGCTTATGTTTCTTTGTGATTAATAGACATTGGGGAAAAACACCTTTTTAGGAAAGTTATAGTGAAAATTTGACATTTGATTGGCATAATTTGTTAATACGAATTCTTTCTCCATTATACAGGTCCTTGCAAAATTCAAACACTGTAAATGAAATATAGGCATATAGTCCTTACAATATCTTCTTTTGTTTTCATAATATGCAGTTTGTTCAGGACAGTACTTTACTAGAATGACTGCATTCTTTCGATCTCTTATCCTTCAGTTCAAGTCACTAAAGATTCATTTTGTTGAGTCTGTATGAGAAACAACTATCTAAATCTTGACATTTTCTACCCTGCCTAATGGTGTAGCTCTGACTTTGGAGTGTGCTGTCAGGTTGGTACTTTTATACTTGTCTATCTTGTTTTTGCTTTAAAGATAAGACTTAACCTGACAACATTTTTCTCCCTAAATTTTTATTTTGAACCTTAGGATTTAATCACCTCCACTTATATTGATAACACAAGCAGCTAATAACCTTTCTTTGGTTTCTGCCTAATCTTGTAAGAAGTCTTTATTAAAGCCAATTCTCTGGGTGTTTCAGTGAACAGTAGTTTTTTTCTTTTTATGCTGGCATATCCACTTTTTCCATTCTTCGGACATAGGATGTATGCGTTTATATAATTGTAAGAATCTGGATTCTGATGCCAAAGGGTTAAAGCCTCTTGGATTTCATTGCAGTGATATACAGCCACTATTTTATTTCTGATCAGTGGCATTTTGGCCATTGTTTAATTAGGGTACTGAACATCACTGTCAGTACTAGGGTTTTGTTTTTCTTGGGTCTTTTTTGGCACATGTGAATTTTGTTTTGTATAAAATGAAATGACTTTCTTTTGGTCTCTGATGATGGGTTTAAAATTAAAGGAGCATCTGGTTTTACTGTGGGGATGATCCAGGATTATGTTGGAACTGATGTATATTAGTTACTTGTATATTCTTTTTGGATCTTTGCAAGGGGAAAGCTACAAGTGACAAGTTTTATATAATTAATTTAAATTTGTTACAGGTTTTCATGTTCAGGATAAACAATTTTTCAACCTTGGGTAAAAATACTTGCAACAGTTGAAGGTGACTGTGTTTTACCTTAGGACAACTGTTGCATGTCAGCTTTGTGTGTGTGTGTGTGAGAAAAACTCCTCAAAATTGAATTAAAAGATGTTGTTGTGTATCTTATCTGCCCCAGGTTCAGTAAATAAACAGTTCTTTTTAAAAACAGTCTTAGCATTGTTTTACATATTAATGATTAACTCACATTTGTTAAATACCAACTTTCTACTCATATTTGAAATGAGACATTGTCCATGTTTTCTGAGGACTTGACACCTGTTATGAATGGTTTCACTTTTTATGTCCATTAACTGGATGATAGTGGATGGGAGCACAGTGTTGTGTTTTCCCTTTGGGATTTCTTGATGGGTCAGTGCTTCCATCTGAAGTAGTTCTGCTGTTTGGAAATAAAAAGATGAATTATTTTCAGTTAACCAAACTGGTTTGTGGTTATGGGAATTAAGTTTAGGAGGGATTAAATGATTTCCCAAGCCCCCAGACGAGTGATTGGTGGAACCAGAAGCTAGATCTCTACCTTTAGAAACTTCTCTTCCTCTGTTACACTAAGGGCCTGCTTGTAAGAAGCTTTGATTTATTGAGCAGTGTGTAATGTTCTAACACTATGCCAAGTGTTTATGTGGTCTGGCTCATTTATTCCTCAAAACTGTTAATGTTGGGTACCATTCATTTTGGAAATAGGAAACAGGCTTGGAAAACACCCCAAGATAGAAAACTAGTAGTAGAGCCTTAAATAGAAACACAGGTATGCTCTTTCCCTCTCCCTGCCCTTGCTTTCAAAACTGCCTGTGCAAGTACCATTTTATATAACAGTTGTCAAATATATTTTTGAGATGTGATTATATTGCAGTGAAAATGTTGAGGCATTTATCTTTCACTTCATCAGTTTGAGCTAACTAGTCTTCTATCCCTGAAATGAGTGTGCTACCAGTTGTAGCCACTGGGTTGGAGAAAATAGAAGTCGCCACTCTCACGGGATTTACCTTTTAGTGGGAGGCAGGGTGGGGTTGGGGGAGAGGAACCCAATAAATATGTAAATTATGTGGCATATTAATAAAAGTACTACGGAGGAAAATAAAGCAACGGAAGTGGCTTTAGTGATTAGGAAAGGAAGGCATCTCTAAGATGGCAAATGCAAAGACCTGATGGGCCAAGGAGCAAGCCATGTGCATGGCTGAAGGAGGTAGGTGTCAGAGCCCAGCATAACGTGATCAGTAAAAGCTTGCTGAGTGAATGTGTTGGATGGACCAACGAACAGCCTGAGCCGGTGGTGAACACAGGAGTGGGAAGAACGCTCCTGTTTAGTAGGACTCTTATGAGTGACTTCCTCGGAAGTACACCAACATTTATTGTGCACCAGGCGTTCGATCCCCACCGTGAGCCGTCTTGCGTAACCTGGGCCCTGACGCCGGGGTGCATTTCTATCCTCTGGCCCCACCCGCGCTGTTTGCGGGCCAGGGCGCGTGGTGGTGCTGTCACTTGCCTTCGACGGGCGCAGTCACTCACACTGAAGTGCCGCTCGGCGTAGAAAGGCGCCGCGAGCCAAAGTGGCTGCACAGGAAGGGATGTACGATTCCGCCTCGCCCCGGCGGGCGATTTTCACCCTCCCGCCGCGAGTGTGCCTTACCCGCCCTCCGGAACCTACCCGCTAGGGCACGGGGTTCCGCCCGGCCCCATCGCGGTTGCAAGCGGAAGTGCTCGGTGGCGGCACCGGGAGGAATTCGGCGGGGGCGGCGTTGGCATTGAGCGCTCGATGGAGCACGTGACGGAGGGCTCTTGGGAGTCGCTGGCGACACCCCTGCATCCGCGGGTGCTGGGCGTACTGAGGGAGCTGGGGTTCCCGTACATGACGCCGGTGCAGGTATCCGCGCAAGTGGGGAGGGGAGGCGCCGAGCGCCGGGCCCCGGGTAATGGGACGCGTCTGGTAAGTGTTGGCATCAGGACTCGCATCCCGGAATTTTCACCCATGAACTGGAACTTTCGCCATGTCTTCAAGGCTGCCTAGACTCGAGTGATGCCAAGCTGGTTAATGATCCAGGCGGACAGAAAGAGTAAGGGCTGCACACCTGTACTGGGACCCAAGCTCCTGACTCCTCGCCTGGCCTTGCCCCCTCTAGCTGTGCGACCTGGGGCAAGTGACTTAACCTCTCTGTGCTAAGTGTCCCTTCTCCGAAATGACGAAAATATCGTTACCTACCTCCCAGGGTGCTTGTGGGGGTTTGTGTAAGACAGTATTGGGCACGTTGTGGGAGCAATGACTATTGCTGCTATTATTGTTATTGTGTGGACTAAGTGAAGCGGCCTGGTCCAGTTTACTCATTTATTCAAGAAGTATTTATTGAGGACATATTGTGTATCAGGTACTCTTCTAGGCTGTAGGGCATTTACAGTGTTGGTCCCCACTATTGGGCTTTATTTTTTAATGCAAGAGGATAAAAAGGAGTAAAGGGATAAGATCATTTCAGTTGGTGATAAGTGTCATGGAGGAATTAAAACAGACTGATTATATAAGTCACTAGAAGGTACAGGATGAGAGGTAAGACAGGATGTTAGGGAAGGCCTTTCTGAGGAAGTGTCATTGAGCTGGTATCTGAGTGGTTGGAAAGGAGCTCTGAGGTGATGGAGGCAAGACATTCCAGCAGAGAGAAATGCCAGTGCAAATGCCTTGGGGCTGGAAATGAGTTGGAGGAACATAAGAAAGGCCTTTGTGGCTAGAGCATCGTGAGTAGTGTAAGAGATGAACAGAGTATGGTCCAGATTGTAGAGGTGTAGGTGCTTGGATTTTCTTCTAAATGCAGTAGGAAACCATCTTATAGGGGAAACAGTGTAGAAAGGGAAAGCATGTGACTGCCATGTAGTGAATAGACTTAAGAGCGGTAAGAGAAGAAGGAAGAAGGTCAGCAGGCCACTGTCAAGTAAGAGATGGTGACTTGGAGTACAGAGGCAGCAGTAGATACTGAAAGTCACTTTGAGATAGCGTTCAGGTGGCTGAGGTATCAGATGTGGGAGTTATAGAAGACTTGGATTTAGAGGACCCTGACGTTTTTGTCCCTAGGGGCTGGGTGGATGGTGGCACTGTTTACCAAAATGAGGAATGCTGGAAGGGGAACATGTTTCAGAGGGAAATTCAAGATAATTCCATTTTGAAATGTTGAGATGTCCATAAGGTCTTCAGGAAGGATGTGGAGGAAGCAGGAAGGGCTGGAGATGAGGCTTGGGAGTGCTGTGTACAGTGCTGGGGAATGTATTGCAAAACCTGTCAATTTTGATTGTCTAGGTCTCTGCTGTCTGCTGTGGTTGTCACCAGTAGTGTGGCTATTGAATGCTTGAAATGTGAGTCCAAATTGTGATATGCTGTAAGTGTAAAATGTCCAATGGATTTCAAAGACGTAGTATGAAAAAATGGAAAATATTAATTTTTAAAATACTGATTATGTGTTGAACTGACAATAGTTTGGATGTATTGAGTAAGTAAAATAAGATATATTACTAAAGTTCATTATACCAATTTCTTTTTACTTAACGTGGCTCCTAGAAATTCAAAATCCTGTATGTGACTAACATTGTATTTCTGTTGGACAGCAGTAGCCTAGAGCAGAGTTTCTCAGTCTCAGCACCACTGATATTTTGAACTGGATAGTTCTTTGTTGCGGAGAGCCAACCAGGGTGTTGTGGGCTGTTTACAGCATAACTGACCTCTCCGTACTAGATGCCAGTAGCACAACCACCTCCTTGGGTTTTGACAATCAAAATGTCTTCAGGCAATGCCAAATGTTCCCTGAGGGCCCCGAAATCAGCCTGATTGAGAACCACTTGTGTAGAAGCAGTTAGAAGAGTCTCACCCGTGCTGTGATGGGGTGAACTCAGGCTCCGGGGACCAGGAGTGGAATTCTGGAGGGGGAAACCTGAAAGCCAAGACCTGAGTCTGCTTCAGGCTTAGCTCTGGTTATGAAAAAGAAGGGCCCAACTTCCTCAAAAAACTAAAAATAGAAATACCATTTGACCCAGGAATTCCACTCCTAGGAATTTACCCTAAAAATGCAGCAGCCCAGTTTGAAAAAGACATATGCACCCCTATGTTTATCACAGCACTATTTACAATAGCCCAGAAATGGAAGCAGCCTAAGTGTCCATCAGTAGATGAATGGATAAAGAAGAGGTGGTGCATATACACAATGGAATATTATTCAGTCATAAGAAGACAACAAATCCTACCATTTGCAACAACATGAATGGAGCTAGAGGGTATTATGCTCAGTGAAATAAGCCAGGTGGAAAAAGACAAGTATCAAATGATTTCACTCATCTGTGGAGTATAAGAACAAAGAAAAAACTAAAGGAACAAAACAGCAGCAGAATCACAGAACCCAAGAATGGACTAACAGTTACCCAAGGGAAAGGGACTGGGGAGGATGGGTGGGAAGGGAGGGATAAGGGGGGAACAAAAGGGGCACAGTGCTAGTAGCAGACATAATGTAAGGGGGTGCACAGGGAGGGTTGTACAACACAGAGAAGACAAGTAATGATTCTATAGCATCTTACTATGCTGATGGACAGTGACTGTAATGGGGTATGTGGGGGGAACTTGGTGATGGGGGGAGTCTAGTAAACATAATGTTCCTCATATAATGGTCGATTAATGATACCAAAAGAAAAAAAAAAAGAAGGGCCTGATTTCTCGTGAAATCTGGAGGTCCTCTGTGTTGTTTAAAATGAGAGGGTTTATGTGAATCATTCTTTTATGATACTGGAGCTGGCAGAGCCTAAAACTCAGTGTCTTCAGACCCTTCTTGGTTCAGAGAAGAAAAGCAGGTGAGGCAGGACTGGAACTCAGGACTCTGAAATCCCAGCTCAGCTCAGTTCCTGTCCATACCATCTGTGTAGACGTGGCTGTGTCTTCCAGAGAGTCAACCCCTCCAGGGTGCCTTGTGGTGCCTCTCCTCCAAGTCTGTCTCATGGTGGGGTCTGGTGTGACCAAGGCCACCCACCATGTCCCTAGGGCTTTTGGCCTTATCTGTGGAGTTACGGCACTAACTATTGCTTTGCCATCTCTCTCTTTAGTCTGCAACCATCCCTCTGTTCATGAAGAACAAAGATGTTGCTGCAGAAGCGGTGAGTATCTGGTGCCTGTGCAGCCTGCCCTGCTTCCC